TGTTCCTGATGCACCTCCTTCGGTGAATTTGATTCCGTTTGTTAATGATGATGTGTGTCGTCCTTTCCCTCCGCCGAGTGAAGACTTAGGTCTTTATGACAGAATGGATGATTTTCAAGAGCAGTTTGACAAGATGCAAAGAGAGATGAAGGCCCTTAGGGGAAAAGATCTATTTGGGCAGAATGTGAATGAGCTATGTTTGGTCCTGAATGTTAAGATACCTACTAAGTTCAAGGTCCCGGAATTTGAGAAGTACAAGGACAACACTTGCCCTCGTGCTCACCTGGTAATGTATGTGAGGAGAATGTCTACCCATACTGATGATCAACGTCTGCTAATTCACTTATTCCAGGATAGTTTGACCGATGCTGCGCTAAAGTGGTATATGAGTTTGGACAGTGCCAATATCCATACTTTCAATGATTTGGGAGAAGCATTCATCAAACAGTACAAGTACAGCGTGGACATGGCGCCCGACCGTGACCAACTTAGGGCCATGGTTAAGAAAGACAGGGAATCATTCAAAGAGTATGCACAGAGATGGCGCGAGGTATCCGCCCAAGTGATTCCTCCCATGGAAGAGAAGGAGATGACTAAGATTTTCTTGAAAACACTGGGTGCTTTCTACTACAAGAGGATGGTAGCAAGTGCGCCAAGTGACTTTACTGAGATGGTATGAATGAGTATCCGCTTAGAGGAGGCTGTAAGAGAAGGCCGTTTGACGAAGAGTGAAGGATCCGGAGGTGTAAAGAAGCCATCGTATGGTCAAACGTACCAAAAACAGATGATTAAGGCTTTCAACAAAAAGACCAGGCCTCGAGTATATCAACCTGGTGACTTGGTGATAAAACACATCATTCTACCGCAAGGCGACCCTAGAGGCAAATGGACTCCCACCTATGAAGGGCCATTTGTTGTCAAGAGAGTGTTCTCTGGCGGTGCCATGATGCTGACTACCATGGATGGTGAAGACTTCCCACATCCTATAAACGCGGACATAGTTAAAAAATACTATGCATAATAGACCCACTAGGTTGACACACCTATGAAAAATAAGGGAATCCCGACAAACCAAAAGGTTTGGGCAAAAATTAGGGATATATGCAAAAGAATTGTACACTCGGCAAGTTGAAAACCCGAAAGGGCGACTTGGGCAAAAATGGGTATTTTGGTGGGCTGAAAACCCGAAAGGGCGGTCCAGGAAAAAGTTAAGGATTAAAAGCGTATGTCTATGTCTCGTGGAATCACTACAGTCAACTTTATCACCAAGGTCCGAGTTCAAACGGTCTAAGATCAATCCAATCAATTTATGTCAACGGCAAGGGGCATTCGAAGGCATTGGGGCAATAGTAGAGTTGGAAGGTAGTGAGATCATTTCACACAGCTATTTGTTTTTTGTTTTCAATTTTGTTTTCATTTCAACGATTTCCTCTTACTAGGATCTCCGTCTCTTTGTACAAAAAATTCCTATTCATGGGTAAAATATCAATACAAATATACTTTGAAGTGCAAACTTCATATCTTTGTTTTGAATGCAAACTTGTCCAATGACTAAAATTGAATGAACATATGGATATGGACATAATTAAAATTGTTTGGCACGTATGACCTAAGAAGTAACAAGCACCTCTTTAATGAATAGGGAATTCCCCCACTGAGTTATTTCATTAACATCTTCCTCAACAAAGTTACTCACAAAGTCTATTTGCATAGGATAATCTGCAACCAGAGTCTCAATCTCTTGGCAGCTCTTTCCCCAGTTAAGTTGAATCTTACAAGTAGAAGCCTTATGGATCTCTTCCTAAAAAGAACTCACCTCTTCAGCAGTTTATCAACAGGGTTTATTTCCCCAACAGGGTTTATTTCCCCAACAAACAATGAGTAGCATAACTCCCCAGCCGAGTACAAAGTTCCCCAGCTTTAGTCTATCTTCCTCAGCTGAGCCTATTACCCCAAATTAAGTATATCCTTCCCAAGCCGAGTTTGTCCTCCTCGACTGAGTCTACACTCTCCAGCTTGAGTTTGCCTTGCAGATTATTACAAATCATAGGGTCACAACCCCTAATCCCCAGTAAAGTCATCAATAAAACCTTTATTATTTCCAAAAGATACTATGAAGCCTGGATCCGACCAGATACTAGCACAATTTTCAAGTTACTATGACGCTTGAACCCGACCAGATAATAGTCAACTTCTCAAGTCACTATAGAGCCTGGATCTGACCAGATAATAGTGTAAACTTTCAAACTACTATAAATCCTGGACCCGACCAGATAATAGTTTGAGTTTCTGAAACCTAGACCCGACCAGATAACCGTTAATCTCAATTTTAAGTTACTAAAGCCTGGACCCGACCAGATAATAGTTTAACTCTTCAAAATATAGAAAAACATGGACTCAACCAGATCGGGGTTTAACTTCTTTCCCCCAGTAGAGTTTGCCTCTCCCTCAACAAGTTATTGTAAAGCCTGGATCTGACCAAATAACAATTACCCTCAGAAATTCATTGTGAAACTTGGAACCCGACCAGATAACAAATAAATTTTCAAGCAAGTTATTGTGAAACCTGGACCTAACCAGATAACAATTAACCTCATCAACCTCAGAAATCTGCAAAGCCTGGACCCGACCAGATGTCAGTTTTTAAGCAAGTTATTGTGAAACCTGGAGCCCGACCAGTTAACAATTAACTACGATCCCCAGAGAGACACTGTGAAGCCTGGACCCGACCAGATAATAGTATAATTTTCCAAAAACCATGAAACTTGGACCCGACCAGATAGTAGTTACCACTTCAAGTTATTGCAAATCCTGGATCCGACCAGATAATAGTTAACTTCCTTATCCCTAGCAAGTTATTGTAAAGCCTGGACCCGACCAGATAACAATTCAATTTCAAGAGATTCTCTACAAAGCCTGGAATCCAACCAGATAACAGTTAATTTAGTTCTTCCCCAGTAAGTTACCATGAAGCCTGGATCCGACCAGATAGCAGTTGACTTCCTCATTCTCAGCAAGTTGTGAAGCCTGGATCCGACCAGATAACAACTGACACTCAAGAGATATTCCCTAGTGGAAGCATCCTTTCAATAAAGTTTGAAGATATGTATATTCTTTATCCCCAACAGCAATCAGGGATTCAACTTCCCAAAACTCCTCATCAACAGCCAGGGATTTATTTTCCCGGACAAAAACATACATCTCACATTCATACATCATAGCATATACATACAAAATGCATTTAGCATAATACCACATCTAGTGAACATCATGCATACATCTGCATTTTACTAACTCTTTTTCTCACAGGTAAAACATCAAGTTTTAGTATAAATCAACAAGAGATTTATGCTGATACTTCTTCTAGTGTTTACCAACATTCCTCCAAATGGCATCTATAAGCCCAATCACAATCCATCTTCGAGTGCAAATTTCTGGGCACTCTAGTGTTCAATCATCTTTCACCTTCAAGTCACGAATGGCGGATCCGTCAATCTAACTCTTCAGGTTTAAGAAGATTGAACAGGGGCAGATGTTGTACCCCAAAATTTTCTCTCTCATTTATCAAGTAATCTCTCACAAGATCTCCTTTGGTTCAAGACTGCACTAGGGTTGATCAGCTCAAGACACCTCCTCAAGCACTAATGTCTGAAAATTAGGATTTGAGATTGCACAAGGATAATTGAACTTTTAATGCCCCATATGACTTTCATGGATCATTTTGGACTCTCAATATTTCTCATATCAAGTTTCAAGTCTTGGATCACATTTTTGCTCAGTCAATTGATCAGTTGACCTAAAAATCAGTTGGATTGGGGAAAAAGTGAAATATGGTCAATTTACAGTCAAACTTCATAATTTTTGGTCCATATCAATAATATGAACTCATATATGTCATTTGATCAAATTTGGACCACAATTCCTCAAGAAATTTGGTCAGATCATCAAAAGGGCAAAATGGTCAAAATTCACTACAAGAAAATTGGCAGATTGCGACAGGTATTTTTGTAGATTACGACGGTTAAAACCGTCGCAATTTGCTTTCCACGACGGTTGCTTTACCGTCGCAGAAGTGTGTGTCCCCAACCTATTTCGCGACGGTTACAAAAACTGTCGTTCAAGTTTACGACGGGTTGATACCGTCGTGACTATCATTTGAGTTTCTTTTAATTATTGATGGCGACGGTTCGATACTGTCGTGAATATCTTTTGAAATTGATTAAATTGTTTATGGCGACGGTTCGATACCGTCATGACTTTTGTTGATTACGACGGTTCGGTACTGTCGCCATGACTTTTGTTTATGTCTTGATTTTTTTTATTTTTCTATTATATATATTTTTTATTTAAATTATTATCTATGTAAAAAATTTTAAATATAGTTTTTTTTTGTGTTATTTTTTCTTTAAATTATTTCTTCTTTAATATATTTATTTATAGTATTATTTTTTGTTTTATTTTCTATCACTTTGTAATATAGTAAAAATAATTTCAATAAAAAATATTTAACATCAAATAAGCATTATAATATCCAAAAAAATGTGTGTTCCATAATCATGTAAAATGCGAGTTCCATAATCATGTCAAGTAGTACAAAAAACCCAAAATATATCAATTCCTAATCTTATAATAATAAGTATCATTATGCCAAAAATACATGAGAAAGTTCACAATCTAATTATCTCGATCATAGCAAAGTCTAATTTGTCCCCCTGAAGTTCCATTATCTCCAATACGATAGCTAGACTCAGATGAACGTCTACCATCAGCGGGTGATTCCAATCCCTAAAAAAAGGTATTAAAATAATAATCTTTAAAATAATACTCATAAAATTTAACTTTAAATGCGTCAAATTAATATACCTGTCTTCCATTGGAATAGAGTTAGCAGTACCTCATGTAAAGGAAGGTTCAACCCAAGTTCAGACGAAGTTGATCGCAAATTGGCAAATCGTCGTAAATCCCTTTCGACTATACATGGAAGGATATATCCATCTATTTCATGAACCAACAATCAGCATTGTATCCATAGGTCCGTTCTTGTCTGCGCCTTTAGTTTCTTCGGTTAGATGCGCTGCAGCATCGTATCCATAGAGGGAATATTGGCTCACAAGAAACGATAGAATCACCGCATACGGTTTGCTTGATATTCCTGTTGTATTAGGTGCTAATTCAAAGTTGGTGAATACATATGAAGCTGATTGTGTAGTTAGTACCACTAGAGGTAACATTATAACTATCACTGCTCCACCAATAACCTGTCACAGTAAAAATGATTATGAGTAAATTGTGATGTACATTTTAGAGTCAAGATACAACGCATTCACTGTAATCAGTAAGTTGGAATAGTTAGATAAAGAAGCAAAAGTACCTGCCACCATATTGAAATTATATCGATGAAGGCGATAACTTCTAACGCAAATGTGTTCAATGCTGCCCAAATAACAGTGAGGCCAATGTACATACATAAGAATAGCCATTTCGGGGCAAAGTACCCTCTGCCTTTATTCGTGCCTGTCGAGAGTAGGATTATACTCTGCAATGTTTGTGATCCTGCATACGCCTTTCCGAATTCCAACCATGAAAAGTATGAGTTACGATGCACACATTCTATGAAAACACCGAGTCGAAGTTTAACCGAATTAGTCCTTTTACCTGAGTCCCTATCCCAGCAATAAGACCTATGGTTTCAAGCCAAGCACAGCACCATGAAGAAAATGGTCCCCATTTTGGACCGGCTAAATGTGCAGCCCAAAAGTACAGAGAACCAGTTGTCTGTTATAGATTGAATCAAAATTGAAAATTAGTTATGTAAATTATTCACTAATTCACTGGTACATGCATAAACTTTATGAGAAGAGACAAATCGGGAAAGATGAACATATCTCAGCCATAGCAATCCCAACAAACCAAGTGAAGAAACAAACAACTACCCATCCCCAGACGAGACTCGCAGGGCCTGCATATTGAAGGCTAGAACCATACAAAGGTGTGATTCCAGTGAAAAGTGTCATTGTTGAAAATGATATCGCAAGAGTTTTAAACATAGTCTGCAAAATACAAGAAGAAGAAAAAAAGTTATTTTCATAGTGAGGAAATTTAGATCAAGATGTCGAAACTTGGAAAGAATAAAAACCATTTCTCTTCTTAGTTCTTGCTTGTAACCATAGTGGTGGGAACTAGGGTTTTAAAAAGGTCTGCCACCTGCCACTGCAATTTCAATTGTGACAGCAAGGTTTTTGATATATGGACTGCAGTGTGCCTCAATTCATGACTATAACCGCAATGAAAAACCAAACTCAATAAATAAATAAATAAAAATTTGAAAAGTGAGGAAAAGATGATTACCGTGATAATCAACCAGCAGGATTAAGAGCCATCATCATGTTGTTTCCACCAGGAAAAATTGGTCATTCAACATAAAGTATGACCTAAACAATCATGCTTAAAAATAGAAGAAAACACAAAATCTAGGTTGATGAGAGAGTTCAAGAAGTAGTACTTGTTGGGTTCTCCAAGGGTTTGAACACACTGCCAATCGTCACTATCACCTTCATCTGCCCAGACCTGGAAGAAATTTGATTGCATTATAATGTCATCACAGTGTGTAAAACTAAGGAACAGAAATTAAATTAAAATGGCTGCACTAAAGGAACAGAAGTCTTTTCCAGTGTCTGGATTACCTTAATATTATTATCATAGCTACATGAAAATAAGATATCCTCTGTTGGGTGCCACCTCACCATTTTCACATCCTGAGTATGTCCTTGCAGCACTGAGACACACTCAAACTCATTGCCTGGCTGCACTTCCCATATCCAAACGGACTTATCTCTACTGCAAGTTGCAAGCAAAGTTCCAGATGCATTCCAAGATACACTCTTTACTTCGTTTTCATGTCCCTGTCCATAAAATTTACATATATCTCAAAGCAAGTTAATAAAACTGATCAAAAAAATATCCAGCAATGATAAAAGAATATACACATCCAAATGGAAAGAAGAAACAGACAGACTAGATTCACGGCAGCATGGAAGTAGCATACCTCCAAAGTAGAGACACACTCAAAATCACCCCCAACATTTTCCCATATAGCAGTGGTGGCATCAAAACTTGCAGTAGCTAACAATTTCCCAGAAGGTGACCAAGCACAAGATCGAACAGTTCGAGTATGTGTTTCTTCCAAAACCGCCTGCATTTCGTTTTTGGACACCAATATCATCATTAAGAAATTGCCACCAAACTTGAAAGTATAGAACTCCAGTCATAAACTATACTACAAACCACCAACTACATATCCACGTGTTTATGAAAGTGCTCACGTTTGAGGTAGCTAAAATTGATTCATTTTGGATATTTGACTATTTTTTATATAAAAAATAAATAAAAAAGCAATTCAAATATTGGTTTTAAGGCTAGTAAAAACTTTCTTTTATTGGTCCTCTTTGGGTAAACAACCTAATTAAGTGCTTATACTTTAAAGCTATGTTTGGATTGATGGACTAGAACGGAGCAGGGCGGAATAGAATAGGATGGAATGGAGTGGAGTGAAGCGGAATGAAGCATAATGGAGTGGAGCAAAACGAAACAGGGATTTCATGTCGTTTGTGTAATTTTTATAATTTGACATATCATAACAGAACAAATGAGTTCATTTATTGAATACACCCTAAATCGGATGGAATAAAAATTGAAGGATTGAATGGAATAGGATGGAATGGGTTCCATCATGTTCCATTCTGCTCCATCCATTATTTGTAAATCCAAATAACAGAATTTCATTATTTACCACTTCATTCCATCTCATACCATCAATCCAAACATACCCTAAAGAATTATCATATAAGTGCTTATGTATAAGCTATTTTTATAACAAATGATAAAATAAAACCAAACTACTTTTACATAAGCTAATAGCTATAAGCTGTTTTATAAGCATGCTTACAGAAATGGGTTGAAAACAGCTTATGAACATATGTTTCCATAATCTCTCTCAAATCATCTCACAAAATCATCTCACAAGTGCTTATGTCAATAGATAAACCAATTCAAACGGACTCTTAATAAAAACGATTCTAGAATTGTAAGTTGTAACATACAAAATTCATCAATAATTCCTATTCAAAAGTGATTCTACTCAACAATCCAAAAAAAAAATTGAAACATACGCTATAAAAATAAACGACGGTGTTGAAATTTAGAAATAGACCTTGCATGAGAAGAGGCTATTGGAGAGGTTCTGTTCCCAGATTCGAACGGTTTTATCGCCGCTGCAAGAAGCGAAAACGAGCGAAACACCGGCATGACCAGTGGCCGGATTCCAATCCAAGCTCCAAACCCTATCGGTGTGACCTTCGAGTTTCTGAACCTCTTTCAACTCTAACCTCTCCATTGCAAAGAACGATTTGACTCAGCGTACACGAGTTACAAACACAGACTCGCTCGTTTCTTCTCCACTTCAGTTCAATTTGTTGGCTGTTTCCTGTTTTCTCGCGAAAAGGGACAGGGAATTCAGAGAATCTTCCACACGAACGTGACAAGGGGTTTTCTTTTTTCAAAATAAAAGTTGGAGACTAATCGAGGAAAAGGAAAAACACGGTGGGCGAGTGGCTTGTGCAAAACAAAATAATTCTTTTTTTTTCTTTTTCTTTTTTACTTTGCAAATTGAATTTTGGGTGCGACGGTTGTTTTACCGTCGTGAAATGAATTTTAGGACGGATAATTTTACCGTCGTGAAAGGTTTAAGGGTGCGACGGGTGCTTTACCGTCGTGATATGCCTTTTAGGACGGTTAATTTTACCGTCGTGACTAGTTGTTGGTGAAAAATCAATGTTAAAAGTGTTAAATGGGGGCCGACGGTTGTTTTACCGTCGTAATAATAATATTATGATGGTTAAATATACCGTCACAAAATAAATATTAGGGACGGTTGGTGTCAACTGTCGTAAACACTGTCTCTATATGTCAATTACGACAGTTATCACATAACTGTCGCAATTTTTGTGTCGTTAAACACTAATTTTCTTGTAGTGATTAGGGTTTTGACTGAGGAAGTGCAATTTCTGATTTTTAACCTATCAAATGGTTGATTGGTTGGAAACATGATCTCAAGGATTCAATTGCACCATTTTAACCTAATGGCATGACTCAAAACTTCCCTCAAGATCAATTGATTGATAGTTGATTTTCAGTCAACTAATCAAAAGTCAACTGTACATTGAAAAGTCAAATTTTGACTTTTTGGTCAAAATCAAGTATCAAAGATCACAATTCATCAAAAAATGTCAAAATATGAAACTTGTTCATCAAGAAATCAAAAAGTCAATATTTCATTTTGAAAAGTCAAAATTTCTAAACAGAAATTTTTCTAAGTGTTTGAAAATTCATATTTTTTCACAACTTTGAGCCAATTTTTCACCAAGATGCAAGATGATTCAAAGGAAACTTTCAACATGAAAGTTGTAGATCTCAATGATATCTATAACATTGTAGAACATAACTTCTCCTAGAAATGCATGGATTTCAAGTTATGATTTTGTGAATACATGTTCATGAAACTTGGAAACTTTGTGAAATTTTGCCCTAGATTAGGCTGGATTTTGACCTAACTTCATGGCAATTTTTCACATAGTTCCAAGGAGAATCTTCGAAAGTTACCAACATAGAGGTTGTAGAGGATTTTACAAGCTTTCCAAAATGTCCAAGAACTCATTGAGATCATGCTTGAGCTAAGAGAATCTAAGACAAGAAGTTGGACATTCATTCTTGAATTATAGGTCATTTCCATGATGAACAAGAATTCAAATCCAAGCCTAGGCTGCATAATCTTTACTTTGCAGGCCTCAAACTTGTTTTTCACTCCATAATTAAATGTTTACACAGCTGTTAGAGCTTTGATCCAAGCATTTGAGCCATTATCCAAGTTACATTTCCATTTATGGCACAAAGTTACCATTCCATTCTTGTAAAGAGGCTTTAATCACAAAGTCAATGCATAGAGCTTTGCACTTGTTCCTTCTGATGACAAGAAATGTCAAAAGAAAAATCAACATGTCTAGAGCCTCCCATAAACTCAGGATATGCTTGTACTATGCCTTGAAACCATGTTATCACTTTTCTTCAAAATTAAGTAACATAGCCATAACTCTATATCTTGTGCTTCTGACCATCTCAAGTGCAAAAAAAACCTCTTTCATATAAACATACAAGTTATTTGCAAGCAAGCACACGAATACACAAGCTCTCAAACTCCCCCAAACTCAGAACTGCATCACAAACCACCATTGTTTCACATTCTGACCAAGAACTTCAAACTTCCATTTCCCTCGTGCGTTTCTTGGCTTTTTAGTTTCAAAAGCTTCCTCACATCAAATACAAACCATCCCTGTCCTTGTTTGCAGATTGTAACACCACCTTCACCAACTTCCAAGTTCAAAAATAGAGTATTACAATTGGACTTCTCCAGACCATTCCAGCCACCCTCAGTTCAAGCCAGCTATTGCATTAGCTTCCTAGAGGTTCAAGGAAGCTAACCTGATCATCACCATCACTTGAAACAAGCTCAAACTCATTTCACGATTTCTAGTTTTGAGGTATTTTTATTGAACTTCTATCTCATTATTTAGGCATTGTTAGGCTTGCATTTGTGAAGATAAAATATAAACATCATTTCCCTGAAACTATACATGTCCATAGATTTCATTTATGTTGCTTGAGTAGGGAGAATTTTGAGTTTGAACCTCTGAAAATATTTAGGTCAGAATTTGATATTGTTATAAATTCATGCTCATCTTTGAGAATTAGATTAAGTTATTTACATATTCAGAATCGTGAGAAGATTTCTAACAAGTTTGATGTTGGAAGTTTTATGAATGGATGAGATTTGAGTAAGTTACAGATCATTTGGCTGGAGGTTGAAGATGAAGTACAGTCAGGGCAAAACTTGTATCATATATTTATTGTTGTGTACAAGTTAACGGATGTATCACCACTCCAGTGGTTAAAGCGCGCGCCTGTAACCTGAGGGACCTGGGTTCGAGCCCTAGTGATACCCTTTTGGTTCTTTTTTCACATTTTTCTCGTTTTTTTTGTTTGAAGGCAAGCGTTGGGCTCCCTATTGTTGGGCCTGATATTTTGCTTATTTCACACTCCCTGTTCTATTTTCATACATCCTGGCCCATTTTCTTTCTTTTATATTTTTATTTCTTTTATTATTTTTATTATTATTATTTTTATTAATAAAAATCCAAAAATATATTTTTATTTATTTATTTACATATTCAAAAATGTTCATTAATATTTTATTTTTCTTCATAAAACAAAAGACCAAAATATTTTCTTTGAACAAATTAATTCTTTTTTTAATAATAATTAATGTTTAGACTTAGGTTAATTATTATATTATTTCTTGTAAATTAAAATTAATTTAGAACTTAGGTTTCTTTTTAATTAATCAATTCTCATGTTATTTTTATTATTTAAAACCTTTTCATAAAAAAACCCAAAAAAAACTCCTTTGAAGTAATTTCTTTTCTTAATTAGTTTAAGTTAATTTTAGTTAATTTTCATTAATCATATTTTTAATTAGGTTTACATTAAAACCCCTTCCATAAAAAATCTAAGCATAAATCATTTTCTTTATCCATTTGCATTTGTATATCATTTATTTAATTCTTGTACATTTATTTAATATTATTGTAATAATTAATTAGATTTAATTTTCTTGCAAGTCCCCATTTGTAAATTTGTATACCCCCTCACCTAATGATTTAATAGCTTAGTATTTTTATTTTCCGCAATTTAACGCTTTATATAAATGCTAGTAAGTTAGGGTTTGTATGGAAAGATAAAAATTAACAAGTTAGCAAACCCTAATTCAAGACAAAATAATGCATGTAAATTAACACACTTACAACCTTAGGGTAAATCCACTTTATTGCCTTACAAAAATGGCCATGTTATGCATGTGGAGTATCTTAACAAAAAGTAATCAAAAATACAAGATCATAGTCCCTCGATGACGCTATCAAATATTGCCTTTCAAAATGATCTTAGTCCTTCAAAGAGAATTGCTAAGATATTTCACAACATTGCTATCATGGCTATACGATGATCCATTCCCGTCCCTTTACATCCAAAGATAAGGCCTCTTACCAAATCAATGGTAAGATAGCAATATCAAAGGAAAGGAACAAATGAACTAAGACTTTTGAGTAGGTAGGTTGTTCCTAGTTGCTTTCTCAATTCCAAATCAAACACTCTTGCTTATTTTCAAAACAAATATCAACACTTTCAAAAATATTTTCAAAACACTCTCCAAACTTGAAACATTTTCAAAAGATCAACACTTTGTATACGATCTTACGAACGAGAACTATTATAAAGTTTGCCTAAGCGATGACGCCTTTTCAAAATACTTTCAAAAACCACACAAAGCAAATTTTCAAACAAAAAGCAAGTGATTTAGTAAGCAACTAAGAGCCCATAGATAACTATGGATGAAAAGGGTACTAACACCTTCCCTTTTCATAATCTACCCCCCGAACTCAAGAAATAATCTCAAAGGTCTTTCCTGTTCTTTTCAGCCTTTCCTTTTGGATAAAAGAAAAGCCGGTGGCGACTCTTGATAACCGCAACATTTGCGATAAAACGCAAAACCCCCAAGTCATCTCTCTCATCCTATCACACATAGCAATGCATTTGATATTCTTACATCTTCTGAAAACCATGAATGCTTCCATCTGATCAGAGACATTTCTGACTGGAACATCTTTTGTTGACTGAGGTAAAAGAAATTAGAAGGCCTTTGATTGAGTCAGAATCTTATCACTTTAGACTAATACTAAAACACGTTTGATTCTAATGACGTCTTACTCTGGACAGAGATCCATTTTCAGATTTTTTAGAATAAACATAAATTTATCTTCAGCTAAGGGTTTTGTAAAAATATCAGCCCACTGATGGTCTGTATCTATGAATTTTAAATATAGGATCCCTTTCTGAACATAGTCTATAATAAAATGATGTTTGATTTCTATGTGTTTAAACATAGAGTGTAAGATAGGATTCTCACTCAAGAAAATAGCAGCAGTATTGTCACAGAAGATAGGAATGTTACTCTCATAAATCTGATAATCTTCCAGTTGATTCTTCATCCAGAGGATCTGAGTGTTGCATAGTGCTGCTGAGATATATTTTGCTTCTGCAGTTGAGAGAGCAATTATTGATTTCCTCTTTCCTGACCTAGAAAATGACAATTTCCATAAGTATTTTTCCTCAGTCTATCTCCAGTGTAGTCTGCATCACAAAAAATAGAAAGAGTGTACTCTGATGTTTTCTCATACACCAAGTTAAGGTTAGTGGTTCCTTTTAGATACCTTAGAATTCTCTTAA